AGCACCTCTGCCTGGGGCTTACTGTAGTCAGCCACTATGCGCCTGGGCTGTCCCGCTGCGGGCGTCCTCCGCGGCTTTGCTCCGCGTCTCCCTGGTCTGACCAGCAGACCAGGGATATGGGGAGCAAAGCCGCAGAGGATGCGGGCGGTGGGACAGCCGCGGCGCATCTGGGCTGTTCCGCTGCCCGCGTGCTCTGCGGCTTTGCTCTGCGTCTCTCTGGTCTGCTGAGGGGGGTGCTCCCCCCCAGCAGACCAGGGAGATGCGGAGCAGCTTTTCTCGCCCCGGAAGACACGGACGGTGGGACCGCGGCGCATCTGGGCATCCCGCCGCTCCTGTCCTCCGGGGCGAGAAAAACCCCGTTCGTAACTGCGGATCCAACATAAGTCGGATCCGCGTAACTCGGGGACTGCCTGTAACTCTTCTTTCAAAAAATGTCCCTGTTCTGCATCCACACACACCTTTTTTCAAAAGAGCTCCTTCGAAAAAGGTGTTCTTCCTCATATTTTGAGGTTTACTGATGTTGAAAAACCGCTGCGTTCTTTCGATTGAATTTTGAAAGAATGCGATTGCAGTGTGGATGCAGGTGAAGTTTTTTTGGGAAAAAGGGCAGTTTTTTCTAAAAAACAATGTAGTCTAGATGTATGTCTACACAGCAAAGATATTTTGAAATAGCTATTATTTCTAAATAACTTCCCTAGCGTCTATACAGCCAAACCGCTATTTTGAAATTAATTTGAAATAGTGGAGTGCTTATTTCAAATTTGGTAAACCTCATTGTACGAGGAATAAAGCCAAATTCGAAATAGCTAAATCGAAATAAGCGTTGTGTAGATGCTTATTTCGAAATAGGGAGCCTCCAGCCCTTCCCAGGGTGCCTTCGTGGCCACTCTGGACCAAACCAGGAAAACTCCTCTCCACCCCACCCAGCCCTGGAGCCCTTGCAGGGGGAGAGTCTGTTTGGCCACAGGGCCTGTGCCAGCTCCAGGTCTGCCAGCCCAGAGGCCACAGGCGCTGTCCCTGACCCAATTGCCAGCAGGGAATAGGGAGCCTCCAGCCCTTCCCAGGGTGCCTTCGTGGCCACTCTGGACCAAACCAGGAAAACTCCTCTCCACCCCACCCAGCCCTGGAGCCCTTGCAGGGGGGATGCCCCCTCTACACAGAGGCAGGGCACATCTCTCCTTCCCCCCCACCACACCCACACTATAGGCAGCACAGGAGCCAGTTCACATGCCCAGGGATAGCAGGACATGATTGTGCGGAGACCTGCCCTCCTCGCCTTGCAGAGGGGGGCTGGGCTTCACCCACTGTGTCCCCAGGGATAACTGACCTCTTCTCTTGTTTCTCCACAGCCACACCAGCTGTGAGTGCAGGATGCACCACCCTGCCCAGGACATCCTCCTGCACTCGGGCCAACAGGCTCACCTGGAACCAGGAAGAGTGCCAGAGGCAACACCTGGGATTACTGCGAAGGCAGGTCCACAACCAGGAGCAGTGGGTGCATGAAGACCTGCAGCTGTGGCAGGAGAGCTTGCAGGAGCTGCTTGACCAGGGAGGTGCCATCCACGGCCACCTGCAGACCCTGGTGCAGAGACTGCTGCCTGCTGCCGCTCCAGCCCCCG